GTCGAGGGACAAGATTTTGAGTTTATATGGTTTTTAGGAGGTTTATATGGTTTTTAGGAGTCAAAGTCCTTAGTTTCTGCACACAGGAGTAATAGTTCTCCTGGAATTAGGAGTTTTCGTAAAGATTATATATAAAGATATGTGATGCTTTTAATTCAATAGACAACATCATATAGAGAATTTATAAAACCTTTATGTTTTTATGGGATTTTGTAGTGCAATTTTAAGCCTTTCAAAGCTTAATTCGGATCTGTCCAACCTTTATATCTGGGGTAAATGACAACAGCAGTCCTTGTAGTTTGGTCCTTCTGTCATTTTGGATCCTATAATTTGCCCATATATCTAAGAATCATAAAATCATTTAGTAAGGTCAAAGAAGATTACCTCAGTTCTGCCCTGAAGGATGGGGCTCCCGAGGAGTAGTTCAACAAATACACAGCCAACACTCCAGAGATCCACTGAGGCTCCATAATCCGTGGAACCCAACAAAAGTTCAGGAGGACGGTACCATAAAGTGATGAAATGAGTTGGTTAGAGGTTGTCTGTGCCCCACAGGGCCAGTACCACAGAAGTTTGCCAATCCAAAATCAGCCATCTTCAAAACTCCTTCATTATTTACCAGAAGATTTGCACCTTTAATGTCCCTATGCATTGTACCCCGAGAGTGGCAGTGCTCAAGCCCAGATAACAACTGTTTCATGTAGCATTTAACCTACAAAACATAATCAATTTCAGTTGAATCTTACAATCAGTTGAATCAGTAATTAGTTAGTCATATGGATGAAAAAATGATGTTATCATCTCTTTTACACTAAAATGTATATTTCCCATTGTTTATCTTTGTGTCTTTACACCATTTGCATTAATTCTAGTCCCTTTAGCCCTATTAAAAGGAAGCTTGGTGTAATTAAGCCAAAACTATGGAACATACTGTATTTTCTCCAAATCTTTGGGAGGTCACTATAATTTACCCTAGAAAATATTAACTCGTCCAGTAGAACGAAGGGGCAATTGAACACGAGAAATGAAAGTATTCCATTTCTTAGCATTTCAAAATAGAATGTGCATCTTTCAGTATTTGACATAGCAATTAACTGATTGTGCTTAGCATTCACTAACATTTCAAAATTTCAGGAAACTGAGTTTTCCTCACATTGTTATATTCTTATGCAGATGACTTTTACAAAGCAAATGACAAACCAAAATGTCCAATGCTACTGAAACCCAAATTAGGGTGTTTCATTGTGATGTGATAAGCACACACTAGTTATAAGTTTGCTGAATAAAAAAAAAAAATCAACATAAGCAAACCTGTGCTTCACTTAACTTGATGTCAGGGGAAGATAAGAGTCCAGAAATGTCATGTTCCATGTACTCGAATACAAGGTATATGCTACATGACAATCGGGAGGTAATTAAGCCCTCCAGTTTTATGATATTCGGATGGTCAAGCCTGCGTAGTATCATTATTTCTCGTGCCATAAACCGAACGCTTTCGGGCTCAAAATTATCAAATCGCACCTTCTTTAGAGCAACAATCCTCCCAGTTTCTAAGTTGCGTGCATGGAACACGCTGCTATAAGTGCCCTGTCCTACCTACTACATCAGTTGAAATTGTTTATTAAAAAGGAAAAATAAAGAAAAAAAAGAAAGTCAGAAAACCTGTTTAAACCTTTTAGAAGCAAACATAAAGATACATGTAAAAGAATAATCCGACAAAAGTGACTTTTTATTACATCAACCCTGGATACTTTGATAAAAGAAAAAGAAATTATTAAATTTATGCTCAAGTGAATGAGAAACATTTATAATGGGGGAAAAAAAGTAATAATCATCAAGTTAAAATGTAATTAGTAGTTCTAGAATAGTAATATGTTTATTTACTTAGAAGTAAAGATGAAGCCTTAGAAATGTTTAAACTCTGCAAAACAGAAGTTGAAAATCAACTTGGTAAAACCATTAAAATGGTTAGAAGTGATAGGGGTGGTGAATATGATGCACCATTAAATGAATTTTGTGCACAACATGGCATTATTCATCAAACTACAGCCCCTTATTCTCCACAGCAAAATGGAATTGCTGAAAGGAAGAATAGAACCCTAAAAGAAATGATGAATGCCATGTTACTAAGTTCAGGTTTACCACAGAACTTGTGGGGGGAAGCAATATTGTCTACTAATTATTTTCTTAATAGAATACCCCACAAGAAAACCAACAGCACTCCTTATGAATTGTGGAAACGTCGATCGCCTTCCTACAAATACTTAAAAGTGTGGGGGTGTTTCGCAAAAGTTGAAGTTCCTGTTCCTAAAAAGACTACGATTGGACCAAAAACAATAGACTGTGTGTTTATTGGTTATGCTCAGAATAGTAGTGCATATCGGTTTCTGACTTATAAATCAGAAATACCTGATATAAATGTGAACACTATTATAGAGTCAAGGAATGCTGTGTTTTTTGGACATGTCTTTCCTTACAAGAAAGGACAGGAATTAAGTTCACAGAAAAGAACTTATGATTGTACACAAAGTCAAGAGACTAATGACAATCAAACAAAAGAGACTAGTAATAGTCTCGACCAATAGGATTTAACTAATGATGAACCAAGACGAAGTAAAAGAGCGAGAACATCAAAATCTTTTGGTCCAGAATTTCTGACATACTTGTTAGAGAATGAACCTCAAAGCTTTAAGGCAACAATGACAGGTCCTGAAGCACCTTTGTGGAAAGAGGCTGTTAATAATGAAATTGAATCCATTATGCAAAATCATACTTGGGAATTGGTGGATCTTCCACCAGGTTCTAAACCTCTTGGATATAAATGGATATTCAAGAGAAAAATGAAAGCAGATGGTTCAATTGACAAGTATAAAGCAAGACTTGTAGTTAAAGGTTACAGACAAAAAGAAGGTCTGGATTATTTTAACACATATTCCCCTGTGACAAGAATAACATCTATCCGCATGTTTATTGCTATAGCAGCGTTGTTTAATTTAGAAATACATCAAATGGATGTTAAGACAGCTTTCTTAAACGGTGATCTAAATGAAGAGATCTATATGGAACAACCCGAAGGGTTTATAGTATCAGGGTAAGGAAAGAAAGTTTGTCGACTTGTGAAATCCCTTTATGGATTAAAACAAGCACCTAAGCAATGGCATGAAAAATTTGATCATGCAATGCTTACTAATGGGTTTAAGATAAACGAATGTGACAAATGCGTCTATGTTAAAAACACTGACCAAGGATATGTCATAGTTTGTCTTTATGTGGATGACATGCTTATCATTGGAAGCAGTCAAAACATGATCAAATCAACTAAGCAGATGCTTAACAAAAGATTTGATATGAAAGATATGGGGGTCGCAGATGTTATATTAGGAATGAAAATTACTAAAACATCTGACGGATATGCATTATCTCAATCTCATTATATTGAGAAAATTCTTGATAAATTTATCAAGGATGATTTGAATTTAGCTAGAACACCTGTAGACATCAGTCTTTATTTATCGAAAAATAAAGGTGATGCAGTGTCTCAGTTAAAATACTCCCAAATCATTGGAAGCCTAATATACCTAATGATTTGTACTCGTCCTGATATAGCTTATGCTATCAGTAAATTGAGTAGGTACACTAGTAATCCCGGAGAAGACCATTGGAAAGCGATCATTCGGGTTCTTAGATATCTAAGATTCACCTGTGATTATGGTTTGAACTTTACTTGATATCCAGCAGTACTTGAAGGTTATTGTGATGCAAATTGGATATTGGATACTAAATATAGCTTATGCTGTCAGTAAATTGAGTAGGTACACTAGTAACCCCAGAGAAGACTATTGGAAAGCGATCATTTGGGTTCTTAGATATCTAAGATTCACCCGTGATCATGGTTTGAACTTTACTTGATATCTAGCAGTTCTTGAAGGTTATTGTGATGCAAATTGGATATCGGATACTAAAGATTCAAAATCCACAAGTGGATATGCCTTTGCTCTGGGAGGCGCTGCTGTTTCTTGGAAATCCACGAAACAAACATGCATCGCACGATTCACAATGGAATCCGAGTTCATTGCTTTAGACAAAGCAAGAGAAGAAGCAGAATGGCTTCGTTACTTCTTAGAAGACATTCCAATGTGGCCAAAACCTATGCCAGCTATTTGCATTCATTGTGATAGTCAATCTGCAAAAGGCAGGGCACAGAATCATATGTATAACGGTAAGTCACGACATATTCGTCATCGACATAATACCCCTGGTTGGGAACACGACATTGAAATGGATGCTGCAAGCAAAAAGGTACATGTATAACGGTAAGTCACGACATAATACCGTAAGGCAATTGTTGTCAAACGGAATAATCTCAATAGATTATATAAAATCTAAAGAGAATATTGCGGATCCATTGACAAAAGGTTTGACAAAAGAGCTAGTGTATAGTTCATCGAAGGGGATGGGATTAAAGCCTATTACATAAGAGTCGTCATAATGGTAACCCTACTTATATGACTGGAGATCCCAAGAACTAAGTTCAAAGGGACAACTAAGTTATGTATGGCTCGCTAGAAATCACCAAGGGATTAAAAATTCCCTACCCATTCCTATGGTAAGAGTGATATCTGCAACACATGTTGTATGCAGGGGTATAAGGATAAGCTTTGCTTTTAATGATTACTTATATCTTGATCGAGGCAGGAAATCAAGACGAGTATAAAGAGTTATTCACAATAAGAATCACCTATATGAGTGTCGAACTGGGGCCGATTCTATGAGAATGAAAGATGTTACATTCTCTAAAAACACTCATGAAAACCAGGACTTTTTACCATTAACGCTTATATATATATATATATAATCTTTATAAAATTGTGCTCTCCTTGTGATGCCATTTATAAACCAGTTTTTTCCCCTCTTATTTTAATGGACCCTTATTCTGGTGGATGTTTATATATAAAAACAAACTACAGCAATAAATCTCTTGACACAATTATCAAGACCCATGAGAGGTGCAAAATTAAACCTTTACTAGCACTTAAACGTGGTTATACAATAACCCCTGAAATATAAAAAAATTACACCAAGTTTAGTCCTTATTATATGGTGGTTTGAAAGGGGTAAATTGGATACAGACCTAACTTTCGACATTATTTGCACAAACTCGTCATTGTCAGATTCGAACCCACAACCTCAAGGTTGAAATATGGAGGCGAACGATGAAAGAAAGAAATGGCAAACCCTACACTCTTATGTGAGATGCCAATTTGATGAAATGAATAATATATCTAATCTTCCTAAAGATGTAATTCTTTCAAGTTATAATCTGTACAATAACTTATACAAATTTTATACCGGGTCGAAGAGGTTTCAGAGGGCCTTCTGATCCAGTCTTTCGTTCCAATTCAAGCATCGAATCAAGCTGTGAAACCAATCGCCCGTTTGGTCAGACTTGTTCACTGTTGGAAGTGGATGCTGGCTCATTGATATCCGAACCGAATCACCTCTTGAGAGTTGTTGCCTTCTCTTTCCATCAAATGAGACCCATGCATTGCTTCTTGCATCCTCAGGGATCTGTGCAATATGAGAATTTTTTAGAAAATCCCTGATTGATGATATTATTGACAAAAATATGATCACTGAGTCACTAACACAATAAAAATATGTTTCCAAGTTGAGAAAAAATTAAAGAAAGAGAACTTCTGCCGGAGACACAATTTATCAAGAAGTTGCCAGAAAGAATAAGAACACATGGACAAGGTTTCAGTTCTGATATTTATGCAGAAGAAAAACCAACTTGATTATATTTTTTTTTTCATTTGCTTTTTGTTGTCGTTGTTGTCAATAATGATTGTCCAGATATGAAAATTAGTTCATCCTCAGGGATCTGTTGTTTTTTTCTACACCAATAGTCCTTGTTAAGTACAAGAGCATAGATTCAGCAATCAAGAACAGAAACCATTCTTTACTTTTTCCAATTGCATATTGCTTCAATTAGAATAACAAAGAATAAATATAGGTCATATGACACATAAGTTAAGCATCTATCACTCAAAATATGCAAGTACATAAATGCCTCTCAAAGAACACCTTCTTTGGTTTCAAAATACACCTGGGTAAAAAAGATGACAATTCTCTAAGGAAGTTCAAACAGATACTTTAGCTGCATAGTAGGAAAATAAAAGGTTCTGAAAGCAAACCTGCGTTCCACCTTTACTTTTTCCAATTGTATATTGCTCCAATTAGAATAACAAAGAATTAATATAGGTCATATGACACATAAGCTAAGCATCTATCACTCAAAATATGCAAGTACATAAATGCCTCTCAAAGAACACCTTCTTTGGTTTCAAAATACACCTGGGTAAAAAAGCTGACAATTCTCTAAGGAAGTTCAAACAGATACTTTAGCTGCATAGTAGGAAAATAAAAGGTTCTGGAAGCAAACCTGCGTTCCACGTCGTAGTAACTCTCTTGCAAATGGCAATATACCCAAAATCGTATCTGCACCAGAATTGTCAACAAAAATGACAACCTACCACAAAAAAAAAAAATGAGCTGGTTAGTGTAGGCAAAAAAAATATATTTCTTTTTAAATGACAGTCATAGTAAAAAACAACTTGCATATGGAGCTTGCCTTTTTCCAAGATTTTCTGCCCCATTTTAATATAAAAGCATCCAAATCATCAATCACCCATGGTCGAGGGACAAGATTTTGAGTTTATATGTTTTTTAGGAGGTTTATATGGTCAAAGTCCTTAGTTTCTGCACACCGGAGTAATAGTTCTCCTGGAATTAGGAGTTTTCGTAAAGATTATATATAAAGATATGTGATGCTTTTAATTCAATAGAAAACATCATATAGAGAATTTATAAAACCTTCATGTTTTTATGGGATTTTGTAGTGCAATTTTAAGCCTTTCAAAGCTTAATTCGGATCTGTCCAACCTTTATATCTGGGGTAAATGACAACAGCTGTCCTTGTAGTTTGGTCCTTCTGTCATTTTGGATCCTATAATTTCAATTGACTCAATTTTGACCATGAATTTATGATTTTGCTTCAATTTGGTCTAATTAATTACAACTCTTTACATATATATAATTGAGTTAATTGAAAGTGTAAGGACCAAAATGATATAATGGGAAAAATGTAGGGACCACGGGTATAATTTCCCATATATCTGAGAATCATAAAATCATTTAGTAAGGTCAAAGAAGATTACCTCAGTTCTGCCCTGAAGGATGGGGCTCCCGAGGAGTAGTTCAGCAAATACACAACCAACACTCCAGAGATCCACTGGGGCTTCATAATCCGTGGAACCCAACAAAAGTTCAGGAGGACGGTACCATAAAGTGACGACTCTACTGGTTAGAGGTTGTCTGTGCCCCACAGGGCCAGTACCACAGAAGTTTGCCAATCCAAAATCAGCCATCTTCAAAACTCTTTCATTATTTACCAGAAGATTTGCACCTTTAATGTCCCTATGCATTGTACCTCGAGAGTGGCAGTGCTCAAGCCCAGATAACAACTGTTCCATGTAGCATTTAACCTACAAAACATAATCAATTTCAGTTGAATCTTACAATCAGTTGAATCAGTAATTAGTTAGTCATATGGATGAAAAAATGATGGTATCATCTCTTTTACACTAAAATGTAAATTTCCCATTGTTTATCTTTGTGTCTTTACACCATTTGCATTAATTCTAGTCCCTTTAGCCCTATTAAAAGGAAGCTTGGTGTAATTAAGCCAAAACTATGGAGCATACTGTATTTTCTCCAAATCTTTGGGAGGTCACTATAATTTACCCTAGAAAATATTAACTCGTCCAGTAGAACGAAGGGGCAATTGAACACGAGAAATGAAAGTATTCCATTTCTTAGCATTTCAAAATAGAATGTGCATCTTTCAGTATTTGACATAGCAATTAACTGATTGTGCTTAACATTCACCAACATTTCAAAATTTCAGGAAACTGAGTTTTCCTCACATTGTTATATTCTTATGCAGATGACTTTTACAAAGCAAATGACAAACCAAAATGTCCAATGCTACTGAAACCCAAATTAGGGTGTTTCATTGTAATGTGATAAGCACACACTAGTTATAAGTTTGCTGAATAAAAAAAAGAATCAACATAAGCAAACCTGTGCTTCACTTAACTTGATGTTAGGGGAAGATAAGAGTCCAGAAACAGGAAACTGAGTTTTCCTCACATTGTTATATTCTTATGCAGATGACTTTTACAAAGCAAATGACAAACCAAAATGTCCAATGCTACTGAAACCCAAATTAGGGTGTTTCATTGTGATGTGATAAGCACACACTAGTTATAAGTTTGCTGAATAAAAATAAAAATCAACATAAGCAAACCTGTGCTTCACTTAACTTGATGTCAGGGGAAGATAAGAGTCCAGAAATGTCATGTTCCATGTACTCGAATACAAGGTAAATGCTACATGACAATCGGGAGGTAATTAAGCCCTCCATTTTTATGATATTCGGATGGTCAAGCCTGCGTAGTATCATTATTTCTCGTGCCATAAACCGAACGCTTTCGGGCTCAAAATTATCAAATCGCACCTTCTTCAGAGCAACAATCCTCCCAGTTTCTAAGTTGCGTGCATGGAATACGCTGCTATAAGTGCCCTGTCCTACCTGCCACATCAGTTGAAATTGTTAATTAAAAAGGAAAAATAAAGAAAAAAAAGAAAGTCAGAAAACCTATTTAAACCTTTTAGAAGCAAACATAAAGATACATGTAAATGAATAATCCGACAAAAGTGACTTTTTATTACATCAACCCTGGATACTTTGATAAAAGAAAAAGAAATTATTAAATTTATGCTCAAGTGAATGAGAAACATTTATAATGGGGGAAAAAAGTAATAATCATCAAGTTAAAATGTAATTAGTAGTTCTAGAATAGTAACTGTATTAACTGTATCCCACCGATTAATGAAAAAAAGGCTTAAAGCATTAATGACTAAACAATCCAGGTGATTAAAAATTCTTCAGAAGGCATTATGAAGCCTTTGGAGTTGTGGAATTACTTATAGTTTCAGAATATACATAGAAGTGAATCACCATTTTAGCAATGTAAAAAAAAGAAGAAAATAGGGAACGGAAAAATGAATAAAACATGCAATTGCGATATAATGTCAAGATGAAACAAGTTATGATCAACAGTTTGTAAATTTGCTACCGAACCAAGATTTAAAACTACAAAAAAACATGAATAACACAATGACAACCCAATTTGGGAAAGAAAAAAGCCCAAAAAAAATTAAAAAAAATTCAATATATCTGAAGCTCATATGCTGTTCTACAACTAAAAATTGGGAAATTTCTCAACTTCCATGATAAAAAAGGACAAGCTTTAAGATCCTTAGTAGAGTATCCAAATAAGACAACAAAATCCAAAAAAACAAAAATAAAAACAAAAAAGAGTCCTCCTGAGTTAATCAAGATCCCAGAGCATCCAAATAAGACAATAAACTAAATTAATTTTTATGCTTTGGTTGTATATGCACTAAAATTAAAAGCATCAAAATTGAGCATTTTCAATATTTAACACACCATGGAAACTGATAATTGGACCACACACAATGCACATAGAGAGAGAGAGAGAGCAACCTTTTCCAGCTTTTCGAAAGAGTCAGCACTGAGAGGCACCCAACCGTAAATGGCTTCACCGGCAACGGCGCTGAGCCAAGCCGGCCAACCGGCGGCGACTTGCTCTCCTTCTACATACTTCTGCAAATTCCCCAACCTAAAACTCAGTGACTCACCACCACCTCCATTAGAACTCACCCTCCCTGACTCACCCACTCGTTCTCACTCACCCCCGAGTCAGTCCTCTTCTTCTTCTTCTTCTCCAAGTCCACCACCCCACTTCCCCGGCTCCTCCCCGAGCCCCCCGCAACAGCATTGTCTCGAAAGGCGCTGGAATGATTGAGAGCCGGGGTCACCGACACCGCTTGCTTCAAGGTCACACAACCCATGAAGAAAAACCAAAAAATTGTCACCGACCCAGAAACATTGGTTGAGTTTGGAGACAAACCCAGATCGACCCAGATCAAGAAATGTGGCAAGTGAAGTGGGTTTTGAGTTTGGACAGCAATGGTGGCTACACGAACTGTGAAGATGAGAGAGGAAATGGGTTATATACCCCCAAAAAGGCCAAAACCCTCTTTACAGAGCTGATTTAATTTATAATTTATACCTGAATAAAGTACTGTTGAAGTTGAAGTTGAGTCCTCAGAGAAGAGTCAGCAGACGCACCATTGCTGCGATTGGCATTGTTTCGAAGCTTCCAAGAATGGGTTTTGAGCATGTAAAGAGAGGTTCGATTGGAGGGGACATCGGAGCCGAAGAACTTCGCTGGAGAAGAAGCTGTGAAAGCTGTATTGAAGATGGCTGGCGGTGGCTAATATGGCGAATGGGTTTTGAGCAGATTTAGGGATTTCGAAGATTTAGGGATTTCGATCCAAATGATCGAGCGCCAAAAATTGGGGAGAGCGGGGCAAATTTTTGTTATTACTTTTTTGCGACGGTACATTTTACACCGTCGCAAATAAAAAATTGCTAAATCGGTGTTGTTTTGATAATGGTTTTTTTGCGACGGACATTTGCCGTCTCAAAAATTTTATTTTTTGCAACGGTGAAAAACCCCGTTGCTAATACTTCTGTATTATCACACTCCCTATGTCGGTTTATTACCGATGGTAAACTGCCGTCGCTAAAGCTCTTCATTTGCGACGGTTTTGCGATAGGAAACGGGCCGTCGCAAAAGGTTCCGTGTTTTATACTCCCTTTTCTTGTAGTGGCAGCTGTCGGCTTTATCTATGATGCAAAAGTAATTGTCTTGATGTATCATAAATGGGAAACATTTTGGTCCACACCATCTCAAGGTGTGTACCCTATGCATTTTATTACATATTTTTATGAAGCATGCTAATGAGTACCCAATAAAGTTATAAGAGAATGAAGCAACTTATGTGCTATATGGTTTAATAGGAAAATTATATAATAATTTTAGTGTATCCGTTATATTCTTTCGTAAATTATCATTCATCATATTTTTTCGTAAATTATCATTCATTATGTCTGTTTATATTTTTTAATTACTTAACATAAATAATTAATATTTTACCTTCTTCATCAATCATATTATCATGAAATATTACGTAATCATACTCTCAAACTACTGAATAATCACCCGATTTAGTGAATAATACTCATAAGATGCATTTTTTTTTTTTTTTTTTTTTGCACAGGTTAACATTAAATTTAATTACTCGAGAAAAAATAAAAATGATAATATCCATAAAAAAGAAGCATGTAACAAAATAATGAAGGTCATTTCACACACTATGAATTGGGGAGGGGGGCGGTTCTCCTAGTCAACAGACCATACTCCAAATTAAAGAAAAGTAATGATTGAGATCACCACTCTTACAAGATCTCCATAAGATTTTCAAAAATCTGGATCATTCATAATGTGAACTCTACACATACATGAGTGGACCCCACATACACATGAAAGGTCAGAATCACTTTGAAAGTATGAAGGTCATCCCAAAAGGATCCCAAACATTTCCCATTAAAGAATTGCTAGTCTAATATGCGTTGGTTGATCCGTCTTATCCATTCAACAATGAAAAAGATAAAAGGAAAAATTAGTCTAAGCTCCCTCTCCTATTTTTAATAATGGAAGAGATCCACAAAATTATTTTTTGATGTCTAAGGTCCCTAAACATATATCAGAGAAATTTGACTCTTTGTCTCTCCTGCTCTACTGCAAAGTAGCACTTCCTCTCTCTCTCTCTCCGAAACCCTAGAGAGAAGAGATAGGCAAAGTCAAGGGCAAACATCGTTTGGACAAGTACTACAACCTAGCACAAGAACACAACTACAGATCTCGCGTCGCATGGAAGCTCATCTAGTTCGAGTCCAAATTCAGCTTCCTCCGCTCCTCCCGCGCCATCTTCGACCTCTACGCCGAGCCCTCCTTTTGTTTCCGAATTGTTCAATAATGATGATGACTTGCTTAACTGAGTCTTTGCATCGAAAAATGCGAATGAAGCCTTGGATTTGCTCAAAGAAAACTTGAAAATCCAAGTGGTGGTGGTGTTGTGAGCGGTTTAGATTATTGTTTGATCATATCTGCTGCATTTGATCGGAACATTGTTGACTTGGCATTGTCAGTTTTCTCCGCCATGCGTTCTAGCTTTAATCCTGGTACATAATACTATATATATGCACTTGTGTTTACCAAATTTGAAACTGAAAGTAGAAGAATTGATGCTTAAATTAGGTGAATATTGATGTTCTATGCTGTAAATTGTGTTGTTTGTTATTGTAATGCTGAGCCATAGCTGCTTTTAATGCACATTGCTTATTATGATATGAAATTATTAAGTTCAGTTGAAAGTATCTAATTTTTTTTTATATATTTCTTTTTATTCATTCGCTTAGTAATCATAGTGAGATGATGAAGATACAATACTGTCCTTGAAAAGGGGAAAAGATGTGGTTTAACTTGATACTTATCATCAATTAGCATAGTATTCTGTGGATGGAAATTATTTTTCAATTATTTTTCTTGGAAACCAAACAAACTTTATGCTTTATAGTTCACTTGAAATTCAAAGAAAATTCAAAGAAAATCCAGAGAAATTCTTTGAAAATCCAAAGAAATTCTCTGAAAATCTAGAGAAAATCTCTAGATTGGAATCCAAAATTTCTCTGACCTTCCTAGAATTTCTCAGAGAAATTCTTTGCCATGTTTAATTTTCTCTGTCATGTGTAATTTTCTCTAGTTTGAACCCCTTTTCAAAGGAGATTGGATTTTAGATAATGTGACTCATCCAATATACAGAGAAGATGAATATGAGTTCCTCACCGCTCAAGTTCATCTCTCTCTCTCTCTCTCGTTACTTGATCTCTACGCCATCTCACTAAGCTTCAAGCAGTTCGATTTCATCTCTTATTCTCTCCAGAGAAATTCCCACAATTGGCTTGACACCAAGAGTGAAGGCAAGCAAAACATGTTGCTCAGGCGTCTGACTATCCTTGGAAATACCAGCTTCAAAACTACCAGTGGTAGAGTTGATGAAATCATGATGGCCAGGAGCATTAATGACAATGCAGTAGTATTTGGTGGTCTCAAACTTCCACAAAGCAATATCAATGTTCCCTGTTGAAAAATATTTCTCCAACTGCAAATCATGCATGGATATACTTTGCTTCAAGAAATGATGTTGAAAAGAGAAAACATGATGGGATAAAGTGCACAAACATGCCTGCAGAAGTATCCTTGATGTTGATACAATAGTTAAACCTGTTGCTGTTAGGGGAAATAGAAGCAAATCAATGTTGTTTGATGTTTGCATTCTTACTACGTTCACATTCAGAGGTCCAGAGAAATTCTGGGGAGAAATTTCTTTGGATGGGAATTTCTTTCGAGAGAAATTTCTCTGGAAAGTCTAGAGAAATTCTCTGGATCAAATTGAGGGACCTTAGACATTATGAAAATATTTGGTGTCCTTTATACTATAAAATCTTAATACCAGGGACTTTAAAAAAAAATCCCCAAGATAAAAAGAGATTCTAACAGTTAAAAATATTCACAAGAGGAAAAACAACGCAGAGTGGTTAAAAGAAAAAAAAACCTGTAACGCCCCAAAATAATCCAACACAGATATAACCCATTAATCAACATCCGCTACATAATCATTGCAAATCCTCAACCTTTACATCATAAATTCCAAGGTTTAAACAAAAGTCCCACATGCGATGTATACATTCAAGGATATAGAAATACATGAATCCATAGCATGTAGAGTATCAAGTCCCAAAATAAATAAAATGCCTTTACGGGCTTACATCTTCCAAGGCTCAAGGCCAGTTACACAAAAGTGGCCTCTCGAACCCATACAAAAAATAACCCTTGGCTTTACAAAAAAAGTCACAACAAAATAACGAATAATCTACTCTTCACAAGAACACAACCACATTCTCAATTTGACGGGGTCACCACATCTTTACCTGTACCAAATCCCATAGGGGTGAGCATAAAGCCCAGTAGAGAATTTCTTACAAAGTATATATAGTTATGCTAGCTCTCAATGTAAAATGCAATGCCATGCAATGCACTTTTAAAGAAAACTTCATTTCATGCTCTTCTTGAAAATCACCATGTTCTCAAAAATATAATGCAATCTCGTTAATTTCCAAACTTCCAATTTTAATCAATAGGGGCGGTAAATACGACACTGGTAATCCCTAGGCTGGTGTCCGCAAGTAGACTCTGCGAGTACTACCAAACTGTCATTTTTATCGATATTAACCGGAAGGCTCGACACCTATCCGCGTGGTTTTCTGGTCTTTCACCATGGACACTCAGGCCAACTTATCAAACTCATCTACACCCCCTATCCGGACTTACCACCGTATTTACCCCATAACACATTTTCACAATTCTCATTAAAACATAATCTTTTTCAAAGTAAACGTTTTCCAATTCATTTCAATATGTGTAACAATGATAATAAATCAAATGAGAACATGATGCAATACATAATATCTCATAATATTTCTCCATTTTCAATGTCTCCACAATAATGTCAACATTCACAATTTCCATTTCCCCTCTTCACTGTTCTTTTACAAGATCACCATGAGCCATTAATACATAGCTACAATCATTATCCATGGTGCACAACAATTGTCATTCCACAACTATATATCATCATTTATTCAACAATAGTTTTCAAAACAAAACACCCATTTCAATATGTCAAAAACTTTCCATATTTTGCAAAGAACATTAT